TCCAGAATCGTGTTCAGCCTTTCAAGTTTCCCTCAATATGAGCACAATAAGAGTCTCCCTGGTAAAGCTTCTCGTCCACACCAATGCTTTGTTGATAAGATGCTTATAAATTTTCAACTTTGATGAAGCCTTTCAACGGAATTTTCTTTCAAACATCATTCTACTTCACAGATACATGGAGTACTTCCACAACTTCTGATAATAGTTCTTGAAGATTTTCTTATTGACTTTGTTTTCCAGGCTTAAGATTTTCCATTGGCGTCACTGGTGAACTTAGAGTGGCTCGCAGACAATTGAGTTCAATAAATGTGAGGCAGCTTACTATTAAAACTGACCCACTCGCCTACTTATCACTCGTCTGATCTCAACATCCCCGTCCTAAACAACTTATTTTCCTTAGAATCTTGGTTGGTCCTTAGACACCGAATTTATTGTTAAGCCTAATTTCATCTAGAACCATTCCGCCCTCAAGTTATTTACCCTCAAAAATAAACTTTTTCATCTCTAATATACAAAAAGTAGCACAGAATTTAAACCGGGCAATGTAGGTTCTTTGCAATCGAATTGCCCATTGGTGAATGTTTTCTGGTGATGATGGTCATCTGCGTCTGTGTCCGGTTGGCTGAATACGTCTTTTTTTTTATCGGAAGATTATAATAAACTGGAGCAACCTTAAAGTATTCTGCCCTCTCATTGATCTTGATTCTTGAGACAAAGTTGAGAATAATTTACTACCGTGTATTCTGAGTTTCAATTCCAACTCCCTGCTCCTACTATTGATTGACGCCCTGGACATTTTATACTTCACTCGCTACCTTACGGCTGTCCGTGGGCGATCCCTTTTTCGCTTTCAAATAACTCAAAGGGTGGCGCTCGAGCAAATTCCGCCAAAACCCGACCGACCGTTCAGCGGAAAGCCAGAAGCCCTTACAAAATTGGCGCCCGAGCAGGGACTGTTTAGATTTGAAGTAGGGAGTTCTCAGACCGTATCCCCGACCTTGTGAGGTTCGGTGTTTTTTTTTCTTTCTTTTTCTTTCTTCTCTTCTTCTTTCGTTTTTTTTTAAAGAGGGGCGTCAGATAAGAGCCAGCGCGCCATCTTTTGGGCTTTATGACATACATTAAATATTTTTAACCACAGGTGTTCAAATTATCTGTAAGTGATTGACTAATTTACAAGTAGATAGTGACATCTTCAATATCAAATCGTTCACACAGTAATTTACAGTGGACTAAATAATTTTATTCAGATACAAATGAAATAATAGTATTTCACATTTTTAGCTAGGTGAAACAGTTTTTACTGGCGTTTAAAAGAAGTGACTATCCTTCCCGACCTCAGCGACATCTTTTAGAGAAGCGCTGAACACACGTTTGGTTTGAGTCTTTGCTGAAAATGACAGCAATCACCTCGTTGTTTGGCAGATTTTGATTAATTTTGTGATACAAAAATTACAATTTTCGAAAATTCTGTTCTATTCATTTTTTCCAGCATTTTACTGTCCGAAATTTTGGACATTTATTGTTGGTGTGCTACTCTATATGTTTATCCCCTTTTCATTTAAATCCGTGACCAAAATTTGCATATTGGTAATAATGGTAATAATTTTACTATTTAGAATGCGTATTTTGCAACCAAAAATGCTTCGACGTCTACTCCAATCTATTATTGTTGTGAACATAACTTCATTTCACTGAAAAGTGGTCTAAATTTGGAATAGACCTGTCTCGCATGATTAGAAAAAGAGAGCTTAATTGTAATAAATACAAGTTAGAAAGCAATAGAAGATGACATGCGCGCGCAACTCGTAGGCTGCAGTGTAGCCAGATTGTATTGTTGCAGAACAAAATGTAGACAATACAAATCGAACACTATGACATTAAAGAAGTGATATAGTGTCAAGGGTTTTACAACGCCTTAAATCAGACAAAAGAAGAGCTTTAAAGTGGATGACCATCGTTTGCACTTTTATTTTGATAAATGTTTCATCCGGCAACATCGCTCAATGAAATTTCAAAGGAATATGTCAAGTATAATCTAACATAAACTTAAACGAAACTGCGGTGAGTTCAAGTAATATGTAAAGTATTAGTTTGCTCTTTGTCAAATTACACGTTACAAAGAAAGAAGGAACGATTGATTCTGAACTGGCTCCTCAATAAGAATATGACGAAAGCCTGTCACAAACTTGCGTCTCATTGGACGCCCACCTGCAGCCTACAAGTGACGCGCGCAGTCCAGGTAATAGGAGATCGGTCTATTGAACAGAAATTTCTGAAGGTCTGTAAATGACATTTTATTTAAACGCCCCTCTTAAATATTAATTCTCAGTTGCTGTTTACGGAACTTCCAAGATGGAGCGATAGCGAAGCTGCGACAGTTACGACTACGACCGTAACCACCGCCACCGTAACTACCACTGCCCCAGTACCGAGTCCCTTATTAAATGCCCCAACCGACCCCAACGACTCTCGTGTAAAGTCTGTTTTTTTTTTAAAGATAATTCCCCAAGTCAAAAATTTAGTAACTATGTTGGCAACACAAGCCTTTTCTACACAAAAAATTTGAAAGCATTGACAATTTTACATTGTATTGCCAACATAATGTCATTTTGACTTTTATCTTTAAAAAAAAAAACAGATTTTAGGGTGGATCTACAATCTCCGGAGAACTGAAGTTGTCGCGGAGTTACAGAAGTTCGCATTGAACACTAATGGCACTCTAGATAGAAACCGCACCCCAATCAAAGTAGCACCCCCTTTCGTCTTCCCTGCAAACTCCACCATTACCCCCCTGCCGTCCCCGACAATCCAAGCCCCGACCGGCCGCCCCTCAATCAACCAACCCCTAGCTGGTGTAACGACACCCCCGGCGATTCCGACCGCTTATTTTTTACCGTAAACAAGGCACTGGAATATCCAGTTTTCTGGACGAGGAGACCGCGCTGCTTTCCTGGAGCGACTGGAAGAAATCTGCGTCACGCAGCAAGTTAACCTCGACAGTTTACTACAGGTTCTCCCTGAACTACTCCAGGGGGAAGCCTCTCTGTGGCACCAGCATTCCGCACATGTTATTTTCATTTTCCGGTGAACTATGAGGTGGACTTGGAAGCGAAAATTAGCAGTGGACTTCAGCGTCCTGCGATAGCTTACGTTACCGACATGCAGACCATAATTAGGTGGCATGGTGGAATTTTCCCGGTCCAGGAACTCCAGTGGCTATACCGCAACTTGCGTCCCGAACACCGACATTACATCCGCCGATCCGACTTCCACGATATTCAATCCTTCTCAAAGATAATGCGAGAATATGAGCTACTACACCAGGAGCTGAACGCTCCTGAGGAACCCTGACGGAGTTCGGTCCTCCGTAATCCTGTTTCCACAGATCGACCTCCTCAATTAACCGTCCACCCCAGTCAGCCTGCCTTACCCCCTCAGTCCGAGTACCGAATGTAAACACCGCACCCCGACAAACCACCCTGGATACCACAGGAGTAAAGTGTTGGAGATGCGGCCAAACCGGACATCTTAGAGATACCTGCACGAACCCACAGAAACTGTTCTGCTTTCGTTGTGGAAATGAAGGGGTGCTATCCCGAGACTGCCGCTGTACCGCGAGAAACTAGATCGGCGCCGTACTGTTACGAAACCAGTACGGAGTTCCGCCCTCGTCTTACCCAACCAGAGTCTCCGAAACCGAGTGGAAAACCGACCGTATGTTCCAGTTACCGTTGATCAGCAAATATTTCTGGCTTTGCTGGATAAAGGAGCTACTAGCTCGTTTATCGGCAACAAACTAGCTCAATACTGCAAAAGGACCGCTTCCCAAAAGGCAGAGAACATGCCAAGGAGGACCCTATAAGCAAACGGCCAGTCGATCAGTACCGAAACCGACTATGTTTTGACTTTGGAACTGGGCTCCACCGTCCTCGAAGCACAGTTCAGCCATTTAATCGCCGATTTGGTAGATGGGATGGACATTTTATCTAAACATGATTTCGTCATCAACTTACGGGACCAGTGTCTCACGTTAAATCAGGAGCAAGTGTCCACACCAGCCAAAGCAGATCAAGTCAATCTCGAGACTCCGAAAGACTCCCCGCCGCCCTTAACACTGACTGCCAGCGAGGAAATCCAGCTGAAGGAATTCTTAGACATTGAGCTTCCACTGTTCGAACAAATCACCGGAACGACTCCACTGATAGAACACAAAAATTAAATAACTTTTTCGTTTTCACTTAGAGAAAAAAAAAATCACAATCGGCGCGGTTCTGTTCCGGGTATTTCGGAGATCGGCGATCTAGTACCACCAAATTTTCCTCTTCTCCTCGTTGAGTAGGTACTTCTCCCCACTTTGGTGGCGTCGTCACGGAACGGGGTCTGGTAGCGTGGTGGTACCCCCGGCGTAAAAGCAGGGCGGTTATTCAGTAGCGGCGATAATATCTCTAATAGGATCCGAAAATCCGAAAATCGATTAGGATACACTATGTCAGTGGCGGGTATCGGAAATAAAAAAAAATAGTAACTTCTACACTATCTATCCTACCTAACCTTTGAATATAAAACTACAGGAAGGAGCATAACTTCGAATCTGCGCGACCAAAAAATGTGGAGGTTGCATATGGCCGACTAGTATTTCCGGTTTGGCAGTGGCGTATATTTATTTAAATATGATTGTCAATATTATGACTCACTCTTTTGGCACTAATCCCAGTGCTTATTATCACTTAATTCCTCTAAAATCCATTAAACATCCACTTGAATGAGGACACAGCGAACCACCAAAACAAATGATGAGTCCATACTTGGAGGCTCAATATGGCCGTTTCCGTCCCTGCGTTGTCTATGCTCCTTCCTGTAATTTTATATTCCAAGATCCTAACCAATACAGTTTAGAAAATTCTCAGTAGATTAGTGGAGAACCTACATTAACAGTTTCTTATACTGTTGCAATTATTTTGAAAAATAGATAACTTATCAAACAATTTCTTCTTTTATAGTGGTATAGCAGGATTGCCGACCCAATACGGTCTCTACGGTTCTTTCCTCGGTGCCATCGTCTACATATTCTTCGGCAGTTGTAAAGATGTTCCTATGGGACCTACCGCCATTTCAGCTCTGCTAACATTCCAGGCCATTAAAGGACTCGGTGCCGAACACGCCATTTTGTTGTGTTTTTTTACCGGAGTCGTGCAGTTTCTTATGGGAATTTTTGGATTAGGTAAGAACAGGACCAATAAAGTAATCACTCCAATAATGAAGTAGGTACCTATATTTGGGTATCTTGTTCATATAACTGAAGTCAATTAGTAATGAAAGCGTGGTATCAAAACTGCTGTACTTAATTTATTCACCGTTTCTGGGACTCCAGGTGAAAACTCAAAAAGGATATGCGTAATGGAGAATCTCACAGTGTGATTTCTCTGAAACCTAATAATTATACCACATACCACACTTTAAAATTAGTACCGCTATTCACAAGTTCAAGAGCGTTTAAATATTTCATTAGCTTCCTATATAAAAAATAAATAAATACCGTTATAACAAGCGTAGTTAATCGATTAGGTTCGATAATATTTCCAATTAAAAAAAAATTGATGGTTACTCTACTAATTGAACATTGAAAAAAGGATTCTTTTCTTTGCAGGTTTTTTGATAGACTTCATTTCCGGACCAGTATCGTCAGGCTTTACTTCAGCAGTGGCTCTAATCATTCTGACCTCACAAGTAAAAGATATCCTAGGTATAAAAGCGGCCGGTTCTGTATTTACTGAAATTTGGAGCAATATTTTTGCTGACATCCATAACACGAACGTTTGGGATACTGTTTTGGGCATTTCCTGCATTGCCGTTTTACTTATTATGAGGGTAAGTCTTTGGTTTTGGGTTAAAGAAAGTTTTTGGGATAAACTGTTTTTATGTAGATTGTTGGTCAATTGAAAGTGGGATCATCTACAGAGCCTAAGAAAATCCATCAAATCATCAATAAATTTGTATGGGTATTCTCTACTGCTAGAAATGCTATAATAGTGGTTGTCTGTGCATTTATTGGATACTCGTTTTATCTTAATGGTAAGTAGATTTTTGTAACAACGAAATAATAAGACTATTGGTCTTGTATTGATGAATACCAATTCCAGGTGATTCTCCTCTGACCCTCATCGGTAAAGTACCGGCAGGTTTACCCAGCATCCAAGCCCCACCATTCGGCTACACCAAAATCGTAAACGGCACCGAGGAAACCGTCACATTTATGGAGATGGTATCTAATTTGGGTACCGGCATCATAGTTACACCTCTAATAGGTCTCCTGGAAACCATTGCTATTTGCAAAGCATTTGGTAAGAACTGATTTCTATAGTCATTATTATACTTAGTGACTGTTTGAAATGATTATTTACTAAACATCTCATGATTTGTGTGGGTGAGACATTTTGATCCACATTCATTAAACATTTCAAATATAGTAAGGGGGTCGAGTGATACAACATTAAAGGCTTTTTCACTCTGAATACAGCCCTATATCGTTTTTCTGAGTTAGGGTTTAGATGAAACCCCAAAAAGACATTTCAAAAATAAAATCTCACAACGATCCTTTTCTACATATTTAAAATGTTTGACTAACCTCTATGCATTATTTTTTTACAGCTAATGGCAAGGCTGTAGACGCTACCCAAGAGTTAATAGCAATAGGATTAGCCAATATAGCAAGTTCATTCGTCCAAGCCTTTCCAGGATCAGGAGCTCTAGCAAGAAGTGCAGTGAACAATAGTAGTGGTGTTAAAACGCCAATGGGAGGCTTGTATACTGGCCTATTGGTGATTTTGGCTCTGCTCTTTTTCACACCATTCTTCTTTTACATACCCAAGGCAGCTTTGGCTGCTATTATTATAGCGGCTGTTATTTTTATGGTTGAAGTCAAAGTTGTTAAGCCCATGTGGAGATCCAAAAGTAAGTAACAATTTTAATTTTGCCTTCTCCGGAAAGAAGCAATGAGTTATATGACACAGAAAATATAGATCACACTCAGTGTGAACTATATTTTCTGTGGTTGTGATGATAAATTTGATGATGACAAGTACATGAGCCTTATAACTCCAATTTACTTTGCCTTTTTAGCCAATTTGTTTGAACTTCTTCTGAACATCACCTCTAATATGGCTTAAGATCGCCTGGGAAAAGATGCTACAGCAGTTTCTTTTGATAGGCGATCTGGTGTTTGATTTTCTTCAATAGCTACTGTAATTGAATTGATAATCAATACATGAGCCAGCAAATAAGTCATCACTGGTATAGTTCAAAGTTCTTAACGGTCTCGTCTCTTGCGAAAGATTAGGGATAAAATTTGCAACATAAGTAATCATATCCAAGAACCGTTGCAAGTCTTTCATATTTTCCGGCGGTTTCATGTTTTTTATTGCTTGGGTTTTATTATTATCCGGAGAAAACCCACTTTCACTTATTATGTGTCCAAGAAATTTAACTGTTTTTTCACGAAATTTTGATTTTTCTAAATTTAAAGTTAGTCCACTTTTTGCTATTTTGGTTAGAACATTATCTAAATTTTGATTGTGTTCTTCCAATGAAGAACCAGAAACGAAATATCATCAAAATTATTTATAACCCCACTAACACCCTCCAAAGTCTCATAAAGGAATCGTTGAAACATTTCGGGTGCAGAACAAATACCGTATGGTAAACGAACGTAACGGTACCTGCCCCAAGGCGTAGCTATCGTGTACATTTTGGAACTATCATAGTCTAATGGTATTTGTAAAATACTTTGCGTTATGAAGTTCACCAAACAGAGAGTCAATACTCAATAGTAGGAATATAAAAGTTCTCGCGCTTTATGTACACGTTCAATGCTCTGAGGATCTTGCAAATTCTAATATCAGCATTAGACTTTGGCACTATGACAATTGGGTGCACCCAGCTTGTTAGTTAATGACAATTAGTTTTTCACTTATAGTTGGGGAGCTGGCGTCAAAAACATGCAAGAGTTTTCGCAAGGCGGATATTTTCAAAATAGGTCGTACTTTAGTGTTAGAATGCTAGTGTACAGTCAGCACTCACAGTTCCGGGACAGCTGGCTCTGGGACGCGGGCAAAGTTGTAATTTTAAGAAGCATCTAAACTGTTTTCTCAAAGCTCAAAATTTATAGAAATTTTGCACATTATTTGTTTGAAGGTCACAGATAACGTATGTAAATCGTCAGACGTCTAGTTCGTTGCAAAAAGGGGGTCAGACGTCCTCAAAGTTTTTATTTTATGGCATTTTCTTCGGTGTCCTGTCAAAATATATTTTTGCAGGTATTTGACAAATATATTTGAAGAAAATGCCATAAAATAAAAACTTTGAGGACGTCTGACCCCCTTTTTGCAACGAACTAGACGTCTGACGATTTACATACGTTAACTGTGACGTTCAAACAGATAATGTGCAAAATTTCTATAAATTTTGAGCTTTGAGAAAACAGTTTAGATGCTTCTTAAAATTACAACTTTGCCCGCGTCCCAGAGCCAGCTGTCCCGGAACTGTGAGTGCTGACTGTACACTAGCATTCTAGCACTAAAGTACGACCTATTTTGAAAATATCCGCCTTGCGAAAACTCTTGCATGTTTTTGGCGCCGCCTCCTGGACTATTACTATTTGATGCAGCTTTTGTTTTACCTTATCCTTGAGCGATAGTGGAATCTTGCACAGTGGCGTATACAGGGGGGGGGCAAAGGGGGCAATTGCCCCCCCCCCCCAGAGCATTAACCTTTTATTATTTTTATTTCTTAAAAATATCTCAAATAACAAAAATATGATGAGAAAATTACCAGTTTTGAGCAGCTAGAACATTTAAGAAGATGACGTACAGCTCCTCTGGATGCTATGCAAATTTTCAAACACTCGTAGAAAAACGAGTAGAAAAAGTATTTTTCCTAACACTTGCGGAAAGTGTCTTTCCTGCACTGAAAGCTTCACAAACTCTGCTTCACGTCGTTCGTCTAACTGCTTTTTCGTGCGGGAAAGTATCACTTTGCGCACCTGTTAGGTAAATAACTATTTTTATGTAGTTATGTATTACATACCTTGAACTTAACTTGAGTTTGGTTTTGTATTTTTGTTATAATATTTTACTTGTTTCTTGAAAGACGATTTCTCATGAATGATGAACATCCCAAAACTTCTTTCAGTGGTGGCTAGCAGGCTAATAATATGGAACAAATACGAACACTACTTTATTTTTCGGTGAAAATATATTTTTTATCCTATAAAAGTATTGGATGCGCGCGAATATGCCATCAAGATATGTGATTTCAACGACTTTTGGGCGTGGCACCTCAAAAAATTTCCGCCTCCGGCGGACATCTGGTTTGCCCCCCCCAGAGCCTCAGGCTGGATACGCCACTGATCTTGCATGCAGACATACTTCAGGCTCAAAATTGCCTGTTAATGTTATTTTATAGTTTTTGTTAACTTTTCCAATTCCACCGAAAACACTGCTATGTTTATCAAGAATTTGTTTCAGATTTCCTAGTTTGAATACTTCATTCGGGGAGGTAATTTCACAAATGTTATTCACAATTTTCAAAAGTTTGGCAGCCTCCAACCTTAGGATAGAAGAAGCTGATTGCCCACTGTTTAATAGTTTAATAGATGAAACGATAGTTCTGATAACTGTTTGGCGAAATCACAGAGCAAATTCATTTGGCCCAAAGTATCTATCTTGTGTCCTGTATATGAAAGCAAAACAGATGAAGTCTTTGAAATGTCACTAAATTTTATTTTTAACATCTCAAAGTATTTGTAAGTTAAAATGTAAGCTTGGCTTCCAGTATCAATTTTCAGGCCTAGTTGACACTGTTCAATAGTTAAGCCACAGCATGTTAAGGTTTCGAACCATTCGATCGCATTTACATTATGGTTTATTACAGTACAAACCACATCATCACTAACTGAGAAATCAGATTTTTCACTGTCTGAGTCTGTGTCATAAGTATCACTTTTTACATCGGCATTTCGAGCAGACACGGTTATATGCTGGACATTATTTTTTTGCATGCTCTGATCCACACTTGGAACACTAAAATCTTTTTCATAGTAAGATGGACCAGCTTTTTCTTGAGACTATTTGTCAACGCTTTCTGCGGTGTTAATGGCTGAGGCCACTAATAAACGTTGCTCTTCATCTTGACTCACATACCAACATAGAAATAAAATTCCAAAATCAACAGCAGAACTTAATTGTGCGGAAATTCTGATCTTTCTTGGCAGATTTTTTGACAGATCGTCATACTCATACACACAAAAATAACCATAGCAGCAACCCGTTGATTGTTTTTTATCAGCGTGCTTTGCCAACTCCTTTTTCATATTTTTCTTATTTAATGTTCTATACTACCCCCTCCGCTCAGACCAAATTTACCCATAGTTAAGTGCTGTTTGGATTTATTGAAAAACTACTTGTACAAATAGGTACTAAGAAGGAAAGGTTGAAAAACGAATAAGATTATTGGTTTTTCTCACCAGTACCTAACTCTCAACAATGGTAGAGAAAGTATTTTTACAAAAACACAACCGTATCAAAATATTAACTAGGGATAACATAAAACCTACATATTCTAAAAAATTGCGAACTAAAAATGAAGTTCATTTAAATCTGTTCCTCTTCTAGAGAGCACTGTTCACTTACACTCAGGCATATATAGTTTATTTGTTGAAAATCTGTACTCAGGGTTCTTCTGAACTGGGTAACCGGCTAGCTGGTAGAATTGGTGTTCAATCATGAAGTCCTCAGTCTATTAGATGATGATAGGGCATTTCTATTGCGTCCATTGTTTTTAGCATGATTGCTTTTTCTCCAAGTGTAGTAGTACCTATCTGCTAGGGTGGAACAATAGACGAATGTCGTTTTGAATGCATGTAAATAAGGAAAGGTTAGCTCTTGGAGTAAATTCACCTAATAGTTCATCCATCTATTAGATCTGGTTAGCTAAGCTGTCTGAGTGATGTAAGAAAAAAAAATTAAACCGTACTATGGTTAATTTTGGATATCTATCTATTTTTAATGTTATGTAAATACTAATTTCTACTAATAATTACCTTACTAGGAGATTATAAGATTACTAACTGTCGTAATCTTGTAGATGTTTGGGAGGTACTCTTTTTCTTGTGATTCTAGGCCTCATTTCACCATTAGAGGTAGGTTCTGATGGTACATAGGTACTTCGTTATCAAGAAACTTTTAAAAAATTTCATCAATCGCTGAAGATACAGCTTTGGCTTCTAACCATCGCGTAAATAGATCCTCAACTACATTCATAAGGTCCCAAAATATCAATACTAAATATATCTGTGGGATTATTTGGAGTATGAGCACGGTATGAATATTCAAAAAACAGCACATTGGTGCTGTTTTTTGAATATTTCTACCTTTCACAATACGACATATTAAACAATTTTTTACATGTTTTGATACATCCCTTCTTAATTCTGGCCACTAATAGTATGTAGAAATTCTATTATAAGTTTCATCTCGACCAGGATGACCTGCAAATGTTGAATCGTGATAAAAGTATAAGTCGCTATAGCGTTGCAAGGTATACAACTAACTTATTTTCACGTTTAAATAAAAGATTATCATCCACTAAATAAGCGTTGAAAAATTCTTGCTCTATGTCAGTTCTTGGAATTAGTTTCCAACCAGTAACTTCGTCTTTTAGATGCATATTGTTTAGCTGGGAAGATGATAATTCTTGATACAACGAAGCATCATTTACAGGTGCTACATAGTTGATAAAGGAAATTTCTTTATTCAATATGGATTTATTGTCTTGACAATTAATGAGACAATTATCTACTGAGCTTTCAATCAAGTCACAATCGGTAATTTCTGAAGGAAATAAACGCGATAAGTCATTTACTTCTTCTGTGGTTTCCTCAATACTGGTTTTTCGTG